GTAAATCGACTTTCGCGGTTTTATTATCTCAAATAAAATCAAAATGAGTTTTTTTATGTCACTTAAGCGGAATTGTCCGCCGAAATAAATCAAAAGAATACAATCAACATCCCATAATTATTTATTAAGTCAACTTCAGAGTTTAATTTTTGGCACATATTTATCACCGGTACATTAGGTAATCAACAATATACAGGAAATTAACACCATAAATCCCCATAATGTTAAAAAAAATAGCTCTTTATAGCTACGTGTGTTAAACATACCTTGTTGAGAGGGTACTTACTAATTAACAGTTAAAACTAAAAATGAAGAACAAAACGTATATCAATATTACTTCTGAGTAGAATAATAATTGCACATTGAGGTCTTTGTTAAAAATGAGATCAATAAAACATTACTTTTTCTTTTTCAAATTATCGTAAAATAAGTGTCAATCTGCAGGTATCACACTCTTTAATTGCTGTAAGTGCTGATACTTACTGTCTAATATAGGCAGTCTAGATGAATACAGGGGAGGTACATTATAACTACAGCTGAAATAGGTTTTGGTCTCCGAGGAAGTGGGCTGAAATCATCTTTAAAGTGTTTTTTAAACTCTATTGTGCCGTTAGGATTATACTTTAAAACCCTCAGATCCACTACGCAATCATCTCCAGCAGAACGCCCAGGACGAATGGAATCATAAATTTGGTATTCTTTTAGTCTTTAAAAAAGGTGTAATCTGGTTGAAAAATCTGGTATGGAGAAGGATGCTTCCTGACTTCTTTTGTAATTGAAGCATACTGAGAAGGAAGAAAAATTTCAACATTTTTCAGCTTTCTTTCCACTACGGAGTGTACGGAGGCAACCTCCATTTAAGTGTGACCTTTTTCCAGATACTTTTATGTAATTGTTGTATTTTTGTCTACTGCTAATCTTATAAGGGCATTAGAAACTATTGAGTTTCTGTTCTGTGCAGTGCAGCCATCCGTCCAGATGGCAACATCCCTGCAATCTTCTTCTAATAACTTAGTCAAATAATCAAAGAAAAATGATGCGTAAGTGGTAGCTCTTAAATCACAGGCGGTTTCGTCGAACCAGTAGCAAGTTACATGCATACGCGGTTTGGGCACAATAAACAATCACCTGACGTTACGCGGATTAAAAGACATTCGATTTCACCGCTTCCTATTAGATAATAGGCCCAGCCATCATCACAGAACGCAGCCAATCACTACAACGAAGCTAAGCCCGCGAAATCTCGATTTTGCTAGTTTTGTAAATACGCGGTTTTAAACACTGTTAGTTCCGCGGTTTCAAAATATCACCGACGATATATAATGTTGATAAACTTTTTTGCTGACTTATTGCATAAGACACTGTTTTGTAATAGGTGGAGGTGACAATAATTCCACTCAATATTTTGACTTCAGTGAACAATGATGGATAAGCAATTTTTTTGAGCCGTGATTCCGACGTAATAAAACGAGTCTCGAAGTGCTTTTGACACACGAAAAGATTCGAAAGCTGATCTTTAGGTAATGCCTTCAAATCATCACGGTTTATACACTTTAACCACATAGTAAGTCTTTTCCAGTTGCCAGAAAAATGATATAATAAAGCGTCCTGTCGCGATCTTTTGCACACACAGCACTCGTATTACATCGTAAAAGACGTAAAATACGAATAACAATGAAGGCCTAATTGCATTTAAAGTGGAGAGTAATAAGCACAAGTACTTGAATCGATCAACACGTTAAACGCAAATCGCAATGAACAATAAGGCCGGCCGGCGTATCATACATGTCATGTGTCATGTCATGCTTGTCAAAGAAGCAATTTCATCAAAATTAAAAAAAAGAAATGTCACTTATTTCCAGTAATGGCGGCCGACTATGATTGCATTCCGTTGTATGAAGATTATCCCCCGTGATTTCCATCGCACATCTCTGGTGGAAACACAGCCCTAAACAAAGCCTGTACTAATAAACAACTTAGGCACCCACCAAACATTTAATACTTATCTATTCAGGTATTATAAAATACTGGTCGTGTGTAATGGTAGATGGGAAAATTACGGATACCTATCTTGTGTTAAATACTCTACTTCCGTTTCACACAACGGCGCTACAAAAATTTGCACTTCAAAAAAGTTATATTTCAACTATACCAATTACCGAGGTTATAAAGTCGCTCGATATGTGCAGCTGACCTTATAACTAACTACTTAATTTGATTTATTTTCTTCTATCTATTCGCTGCTTACATCAATGTTTTGACAATACAAACAAACCGACACAAACAAACATAATAAAAAGTAGTATGTTACACAGTTTTTACAACAGTGGTGTCGATTCTGGCATGATTCTCTAAACCTAAACTTAAATTTGACAACAATTTAAGTTTAGCTTTAGAGAATCATGTCACAGAATGAAAAGGAGAGAGATGCTAAATTTAGTTTAGAGAGTCATGGTTACCAGAACCAACACTTACACCCATATTCTTAGACGTTTCCTCGAGATTTTTTCCACTCGACTCAAACTCATTCGAGGAAATTCGTATGCTTAGACAACAAAAATATCCGTCACTTGAGATATTCCTCACTCGAGTGGAGGTCGAGTCGAGGAATAAACTGTCAAACTCAAGGTAGCTCTCGATGTACCTTAAGGCTTCCTCGAATGGTGTTTAAGGTGTTTTGAAGTTGTTTTTTTTTTGAGAATTATGTCTGATTTTGAGATTATTGACGAATTGGTGGATTTTATGGATTACGTATACGACGATGAACCATATAATCCGGCGCGACGGTATTTACGTGACTCCGCAAATCCTTTTGAGGTTTACGACAATGATTCGTTTCAAAGATGATTTCGTTTTAGAGAGATACAGTCATACAAGTAATATTTCCTCTGCTAAGCATTACACTAAATTGTAATAACAGAGGACTACTGTACCGCCTTTAATACAATTACTGGTGGCTTTGAAGTTTTACGTGACATGATTATTTCAAGTAGGTATTTACCTATGTTTGTTGTGTGATATTTTACTTTACACATATAATATGTCTATGCTTTTATGCTTTATACCTTTGTTTGTACTCTCAGTGGAGGAATTCTCAAGTTTGTTCAAGATACCTACTAGAATACCATTTTCGAGGTTATTTGGAGGAACTCCTTAAGAAGCCCTCGAATGAGTTATAGTCGAGGAACGTTTGAGGACGCGACTAAGAATATGGGTGTAACTTATTGTTTATAATTTTTATGTGGCTATTTACTTGCATCGATATAAAGTACTTTTTAATTCTCTAAACCTAAATTTAAATTTGACAACAATTTAAGTTTAGCTTTAGAGAATCATGTCAGAATCGACACCAGTGTATCTTTGTCATTCTCTACACAGAATGAAAAGGAGAGAGATGCTAAATTTAGTTTAGAGAGTCATGGTTACCAGAACCAACACATACTGTTTATAATTTTTATGTGGCTATTTACTTGCATCGATATAAAGTACTTTTTAATTCTCTAAACCTAAATTTAAATTTGAATACAGTGTATCCTTGTCATTTTCTATACAGAAAAAAAGGAGAGCCTGAGGTTACATTTAGTTTTAAGCTTAGAGGATCATGCCAGAATCGACACCTTTGTTTTGTTAAGTTATAGATCGTGAATGATTGAATGTTTGTTTTTAGAAAATCTATCGATCTATAGTTCTTTTATCAACTTGCTATTTTTATCGGAACGGGTAATACGGAATGATCCAAAATTGTAGCGGTTGCGTATGAACTAGTTTTATATAACGCACATGGTCACAGTGGCCACGTACTTTGGCGAAAGGGGATAATCCACCTATGCCCTTAGAGCATTTATACTCTATATTATATGCTCTAAGGGTGCGGCCAGAGTGCACTCAGATTCAGATTCAGATTTCGAAAACAAGCGCGAGAAATAAACACTGTAATCGAAGGGTACGGCCAGAGTGCACTCCTGATTCAGATTCAGATTCAGACTCAGAAAAGAAAGCGCGAGAAAAAGCAGGCAACCTGCTTAGACTACACTGTTTATTTCTCGCGCTTGTTTTCGAAATCTGAATCTGAATCTGATTCTGAGTGCACTCTGGCCGCACCCTAAGAAATTTGGCACGTCTGATACGGCTCTATGGTAGAACTGCATAAAGTTTTTTTACTATAGTAACTTTAAATTTGAACTAGGGGTGTCCACTCTGAAAAAACATCGATGTATTTTTTTATTCGATACATCGCAACTATACATCGATGTCATTCGATGTATCGGATGAAAACATCGATGTATTTTAAACATCGAGTACTTTTTTTGAAATTTTATTACAAAACTCAACTTATGTGTAAAGTGATCCATCTCAAAAGAGGCCATCTTTTCATAGTAAAAAAAAATTACAATTGAAGTTTATGAAAAGACCTTAATCCATAATTTTATTATAGTTTATATATTAATCTTTCATAAAATAATAGAATTAACTCCTTTCATAATGAGTAGGTAAAACTAAATACAAGTAAAAGTCATGTGTCAGAAAAATCTGTATTATATTTTTACAAAAGATCATATAAAAAAACGCTAAATAACCCGCAAAATGTTTGCTAAGTCTGTCAAAAGGATATTAGAAATATACTTCAATCTTAATTTCTTTCACAAAACTAAAGGTTATTAAATGTTTATAAACATAGAAACTCGTAGTTATTTTTTATTGTCACTGCACTGAGTCTTGCGCAGTGCTGCCAAAATCGGGTACATATCAGAGAATTCGGAATAATGATGCTTTCATAATAGTAATAAGTAAAATTTTACTGGTCAAACTTATGTTTTTTTACTGAGGTCAAACCGAAGAGGATATTATCACTACGTGGTCAAACTCTATTACCAATTCGATGTTTCTTTAAAACATCGATGCATCGAGTATATTGAAAGCTATTCAAAACATCGGATCGTATCGATGTTTTTCATTGCAAACATCGATGTTTTCGATGCATCGATGTATATCGAATATCCCTAATTTGAACAACATGGCAATGATTTTTTTTATAAATGAAAAATGGCGTTTGTGTTGAACTGAATGGTTTGTGATATAAACACACTTGTCACATATAAATTTTTAATACTTTCTGAATTGATTTGGATTTTATTCAAAGTATCGTTAGGTGGCAACAACAAAGTTAATTGTATTGTAGCATTAGAGTGTGATAATATAAAGAGGACTAATGAATTTGTTGACCGATGTCTGCCGTGGCTCCCACTATCCCCGGTTGGTTCATTTTTTTTCTTGAATTGATAAACATGTTTTCATTCACACTTGTATATTAATTGAAAGAAAATAATGGTTTTCTGTGTTTCTTTTGAAACTATACAGTGTTAAAAAGAATGACTAATTAAGTTGTAGTTATTGACTTATTTTGACCTATTTTCGCTTTGACGTTGCTTTGCGTGACGCGTTGTTAACAACGCATGAAATATTTATGTATAAAACATTTGAACGACAATATTTTTTATGAAATCAAGTATGTACTACTTTTAAAATGAATATTATAACATTTAGAGGCAACGTCAATATAGGCCTGAATAAAAATATGCTTATCTACAATTCTTTCTTTAACATCATTTAAAGTAAGTTTATGAATTGAATGTTGTAAATATTCTGAATTTGAATTGCTGATTTGTGAAAATGTTAATTGCAAGATGCAAGTGAATTAGTAATTTGATTGACTTTCATCTTTTTCTTGGTTTTCTTGATTTTAATGTACCTGTGACCTTGTTTTTTCTTGTAAATGAACACTAATGTAAACATAAAGTTAAAATATGCTCATTAATTAATTAACTTTGTCTGCTATAGCAATTATTGTTTGGTTTTAGGGGCTGACCCAGCAAAGGACATACAAAAGCGCCGTGCCGGCAGTATTGGGTATGATTTTCTACATCATCATATTAAATAACTTAGAAACATCAGATAGATAGGTTGGTTACTTTAAAAATATACTGATAATGCTTATATGATATACTTAAAACCAGTGAATATAATTAAACAATATTTAAGGAAGTTGCATTGCATTTATTTTTACAATAACTTTTCTTATTACCATTGCTTTGTTATACTTCCTTATGACTGAGGTTTGTAATAACACATAGCCATTTGGTGTAATAAGCAATACTAGAATGCACTATGCATTCTAGTATTGATTTCATATCAAATTACTAGTATAATTTATTTACTGCTGCTTAAACTCATAACAAACTTTTGTAACAAAACATTTTTTTTGTGCAAATGAGTAGATTATTAGCATGTCCAGAATTACATACTTGAATGATGTAAGCATCTTTGCCAGATGCTAAAGCTAAAGACTCAATAATTTTTAATTTTATTTAACCTTTTTGGGAAAGAAAATATCTTCCAATAATTTAATGTTCATTACAATTATAAAAAAACTGGCATTCAATTGGCCTTCAGTAGAACTACAAAACCATTATATACCTCCTTTTTAAAAATGATAATGAAAAGTTTTACTACTGTAGTACTGTACTATTAAGACCTTACATGACGTCACCATAACAACAGGCATGGTCGAAAAGTACTGAAGGGACTTGACCCACGTAAGGGTGCAGGTCCTGATGGACTTCTGTCTTCTTTTGTTACCTTTTGACATAAAGTCCTTGCCGAACCTCTTTCACTGAATTATAACAAATTGCTTAGAACAGGTATCATTCCCTCCATATGGAAAGGGGCCTTAATTGTACCGGTATATAAATCTGGAGACTAAACTTCAGTAAATAATAAGTTATTTACTGAAGTTCAGTCCCATCTCATTGTTATTAATTTTTCGAAAAGGTTTTTGAGGTGCTGATACACCCGTTCCTGGTCTGGCATTTTAACCTTTAACTATGGATGTCAAATTTTCATTACACTTCTTTGGACAAACGGTCTCTGAGGCCCACGAACTTCAAGGTTGAAAATTAAATGATATTTTGGAGCGAGGGGTAAAACTATGTCATGAATTTATTAATTGGGTTGCAATGAAACGAAAAATATAAAAATCAACTTTATTATTTTCTAAATTATACTTATGAATGATATGACATCACTTCTAAGAATATAATTATTTAAATAAAGTTTACCAAACAATTAATTATACTTCAAATAAAAACTGAAAAGAAAAAAACAAGTCCAGTTGTCTATAATTCTGTTAATAAGGAACAAAGCTACTTTAACAGTCGGGAACCATTAGATATTCAAGAATACATATTATTAGTTTGCAATAATGGGTCCCGACTGTTAAAGTAGCTTTGTTCCTTATTAACAGAATTATAGACTACTGGACTTGTTTTTTCCTTTTCAGTTTTTATTTGAATTATAATTAAGCAGTCGGGTTTTTTGATTTTTTAAAGGACATCATTCACGTTCCATACATTTTTGGGCCAAATCTGAAAGTGCCGGCCAGAAAAAAAAAGCGTAATATTCGGATAGATCACAAAATTCCTATTATTTTTTACTATGACACCAAACCTGTGCGCCCTATGGTTATGTTGTTACATGGTTTTAAAATACAATGTGAAATAAAATGTTGTTAAGAGCCCTATTACAAATCTGCACTCTGCGAGAATGGGTATTTGAAGCATTCCCGACAACTCATTGAAGGTCACGAGTTTACAATACTGTGTTGAACCTACGACCAAGCGATTTTGATACTTTTTTCCAAGTTTTGTATATTTTTAGTATTTCTATGTAGTAATTCGTTATCGCTATACCCGCACATTTTTAGAGTGCCATGGAGGGTCTCATATGTGAATAATCAGATTAAATGAAGATGATACCATAAATAAGACAGATGATATTTGTTCAAAACAAAATTTATTTTTTATGTTTTTCGTTTTGGATTAAAATAAAAGATTAGATATTTATTATTATTTATATATTATTATACATATATATTACTATAATGTTTGATTATTTACATGTCAGTATAAAACACCCTAAGTCAGAACTACCTATTTGCCAAATTTCAATCAAATCGATCTAATGGTTTTTGTGTGAAAAAGCAACAGTCATGAGCTTATTTCAGATTCATCATATTATAACCTGCCCGCTGGGAGAATGCGTTCTTGACATTTGTCAGTTAGTCATATTACAACGGTATATTACTCTTAGCCACCGCGGTATCCTGCTATGAGGTGGCCAATAGGAATACCCTGTTACGAGTAACTCACAGATGTCAGAAATGTACTCCCTCAAAAATAAAATGTTTTTCTTGTAACGAATCAAACTATAACTCAATATCATTTATTCAGTCTAAGCTGTTACAAGTATTTGTGAATGACGAAATGCTATGCCACCGGTTCGCAAATCTACGGCGGGAGACCTTGTACTGAGAAGAACCGGCAAAAAACTCAGCAAGGGCTCTTTTTCTCCCTGCCATTATATACAAAGCCGTCAAATTTAAAAATGGACTTTATGGGGTCTTAGGCAGTACTCTATAATCCGACAAATTCGATAGTTCGACACTGCCCTGCAAAATGTTTGTCGGACTACCGGGGATCCACTCTTCTCTTCTTACTTCAGTAAGGGAATTAATATCGCGGGAATTATTAAGTACCTTGTATATGTAATAAATTAAATACCTAACCGTGTAATAAATTAAATAATTATGCAATCACCAAAGCAAAGTTTATAATATTTGATTAAAATAAAGGTGCATAATAAATTTTTCATTTCTCATTCTCGGAAAGTGGTGTTGTTTTGATCTGTTTGTTGGGTGGAAAATGCAGCTTCCCTCTCTAGAGAGGGAAAAACTCATACAAATTACTTCCCGCCTAAGGGCCGGAATGAACTTTAAAAATAGAACTACTGTCAGGCGTGAAGTTTTTTGTAAAAAAAAATGCTGCCGCCATGTGAGTTTCTAAACAGCCAGTGTGAACTTAGCACAAACTTCTTTGAGCGGAATAAGCCGCAACAATTACGCTGTTCCATATTTAAATTTAAAAAGTCGACAATAATTGGCGGGATCCTAAACTGTTATGCATCTGTTATGTGATGGAATAAAAAAAATAGTAATAATAATCTTGTAAGTAAAACAGAGCAATCCAACTTTGAATATTAAAAATGAGTTCAAGCGATTCAGAAATGTTGACACCGGATTCAATGAAAGACGAGGCAAATTGTGTTATAGAGAATATTTTGCCAGAAATGTTAAAAAAGAGATATATAAATACATACAATGATTTTATAAAGTGGTGAGCAGAGAAGAATATAAAATCGTTTTCCGAAAGTGTATTTCTTACATATTTTAATGGACTGTCTAGCAAACTACAGACTCCTACAATTCGCCTCAGCAGACAACTTCCAGGGAGTATCCGCCATGGAATCCATCGTTTGATGAAATAACAGAGTGTCCTACTTTTACAGATATCCAAAACAGCCAAATTTGTAATAGTATATCAAACAGCATAGTTTCAAACAAGAATGTTACTTTTAATTTCAGTAATTCCTAATATGATAATTAATTTTAAATAGCTACTTCTAATTTTATGGTATATATATAACTATTTATGAATAAATATTTTTGTTAAACAACTAGTTTTATTTTCCTCATATTCGAAATGAAAAGTACAGTGTTTAACTCGGGTAAAAGAATCAATTCCTACTCGGACTATAGCCACCCTCGCTGCGCTCGGGCGTCTAAATACCTCGGGAATTGATTCTTTCCACCCTCGGTTAACAATCTACTATTTCATAACGTGAGGTAGAATACCATAGCAATCTCATTTAATCAATTTATAGTTCTCTTTGTAGTTTTCTTTTAAAGCGTTCACCAATAACAGGTCAAAGGCTTTATGATCGACCGTTTTTTTTTTGGTAGTGTAAAGCGAGAATGAAGAGTACTTTCACCTATCAAGCGTGCTGCTACCAGCCTAGTAGGTATTGGAAATAGTGCAATCATGGCAACTATTTTCCAAATATTTATTTTTTATAAAAAAAATACCGAATAATGTATCACTGTTAAGCACAAATGCTAAGTAACTTATACAAATATAATCAAATAAACCTATTACTTACTTTATTTTTAAATCTTTTTCATCAATTAAATACCATTATCCTAATAATATCTACCTATCGTTAAAAAAACAGTATAATTCTGAGTTTTTCATTAAAATTCGATAGTCATAAATACCTATTATGATAATTTATTTTTCATCGTTTAATAGGAAGAAACTGTATCACAGTTTTATTGTAAGTACTTCGTATAGGATCAGCGAGCATACTGCGGGTAGCTCATTTTTTTCTCTTTCGCCTAGGTTTTATCTACATTTATAAACCCCCTAAATTAAATTTCTTCTCCCGCAGTCTACTACTATACAGTACACCGCGCTATCACTTTGTCATCGTTGTAACTTTTTAAATATTTGTCGAAATGACATAGTGTAAAAGGCAAAGTTTATCGTCTTTAAATATCAAAAGCCATAAAAGTATTTGTTTTGATAAAAAATAATTTGTTAATACAAAATGTGCATTTTGGAAATAGATATCAAATAATATTTTAGTTCTGATTCACTATTTTAGCGGTAATGGCTTACGCATTAAAAATAGATATATGGTGTAACGTACTTTTTTGTAGAACCATTTAAAAGATACATTTGCACTCTACATTACATTCATGTAACTTTTATTGTTTTTGCAGTGCAGGCCAAAATGGCTCGCAGATGGGAAATTTTTTCTGTCTTATGTGACATTTATTGTTATATTTTGGCCAATTCACTCAATAACTACATAAATTATTATATATATGTTATTATCATATATGAGCTATATTACTGTTAAGTTTCATTAAATTCCATTCAGTATTTGTTAGGTGAAAGAGTAACAAAGATCCATACAAACGTAAGATTGAAATTAAAAGCGCAAGTGGTTAATATACGACCTTAAAGCGTTGTAGATCCTAAAAAATCATATAAAATAAAAAATGGTGTAAGGAACCTAAACATGATTTTCGATTATCTAGACAATGATAATCCACTCGACATATTTTGTCAACTGATTTTTTTTACTTCGTCACAATATGGCGCCTAATTTTCCCCATATTGAATTTTGATTACTATCATATCTTTAGTAGCACTCCCATGATTGAGACGAATCGATTGATGTATGAATCATCAAAATCGATCCAGGCGTTTGGTCTCTAGTGTGCCAAATTTTCAAAAATATAAACTATAAAAAGTAAACAAATATAAAAATAAATGCTTTACATCTTTATATATATAATTCTTCTGTGAGTGTGTATGTCACTGAACTTCTCTTAAACGACTGGACCGATTTTGATGAAATTTTTTGTGTGTGTTCAAGGGGATCTGAGAATGGTTTAGATTCACAATTTTGTCCGCTGGACAACCCCTATTTTTTTAGGGCGGTACGAAGTTCGCTGGGTCAACTAGTTTAAATATAATATCTTAGGCAGTTATTGATGTCGATTCTGGCGTGATTCTCTAAAGATAAACTTAATTTTGCCAACAGTACATCCTTGTCATTCTCTATACATAATGAAAAGGAGAGACTGATGTTAAATTTAGTTTTAAGTTAAGACAATCATGCCAGAATTGATACCATTGGCAATCGTTATTATATTTTAATTCTCGTCTTCGCTTTCATCCTCAAAAGAAAAATTTCTTCATCAATGAAAAATTCGCCAATTTCCTCTTCTTTATCCGAGTTATCTGATGCCATAAGTAGTCTGGTAATCTCATCTTCAGCCGTAGTGTATACCCACTGTACCGGCTGTAGTGTGTGTTTGTCCAAACAGAAGATTTTCTTTGCCACAGAATTACCAGATGAATGGCATGACCGTTTCATTCCAGACGTCATCATCATCAATGTCCCCACTGCTGAGGCACAGGCCTTTCGTATGGATAGTATAGTGAGATTAGGCTATGACCCACCATGCGGACCCAGTGCGGATTGGCGGGTGCTAAGGACTGCAGATGTAGCCGGGACCAACGGTTTAACGTGCCTTCTGAAGTACCGAGGAACTCGAGATAGAAGATTTTTGGTCACCCATCCAATGAATGAATGCTCTTAAGTAAGGAACAAAGTTTTTTTTACAGTCGGGATCTACTAATGGGTCCCGACTGTTAAAATAGCTTTGTTCCTTACTTAAGAGCCCTTTTACAAAATTGCGCCGCTGCCGTACTGATCGGCGCGTTGGTAGATTTGCACTAGTATTTATATTATATTGCATTTTACGGGTGATGTTTCCAGTCTTAAAAAATAATTATTAATGAACTAATTATAAAAATATATACATATTTCAGTAGTTCAATGATGGTAGATTAGTTTCATGAAAGATTTTGATAGTAATTCTATTTAATGGTAGATGTTTTTAGATAAGGTTAGATGTTTTTTTTTGATAATTAATGAGATGGAAAATCTAATACATTATGTTACAACAAAACATATTTATGATGTCGTAGTAATTAATTTGATCTAATTGCTTGAACATTATTGAGAGATTGAGGCGTTTGAAGTTGTGCATATTATCGTTTTTTCCGTAAACTAGCTGCAGTAGCAAGGTCAGTACAAAAAAAGAAAAATAGTATTTGCAAATATTCTACATTAACTTACAAAAGAAAGAATAAATCTACTTTTTACTTCTATTGGAAATAGTCAAAATCTTTTCTAAGGGGGTAAACGAGACGCTCAAAAATTACGATTTTTTGCACAAAATGTGAAAGGGCTCTTAACAGAATTATAGACTACTGGGGCCCAATTCTCGCGGCATAGATATTATATCACCTTCGATATATATCGAATGATCTGGCTTTTATCGAAGGAAAACCTTTTTGCCCTATTCTCACCATGTCGCAATAGATATTTATCTACGGATGATCAGTAGACATACATCGACTGGTAAAGAGCCATCGATATATAAATATCTATGGATCTTGGCATGTCAATATTGTTATTTCCATTTTTTTTACCTATTATTTATTGTGTTGTCGTGTGTCTTTGCCAATTATTGTTACCTCAAGATGTTGTTAACTGCCTTCATAAATAATTAGTAAATAAAGAAGTAGGTAAATATTTATATTAACGATGGATGAGTTGATTCATGTTTTCGTCAATGATTTAATAAATGACGTGATTGCTGCTGCTGTGCTAAGGCGCCGCCGTTGTGAGAGCAAGAGGGTCCATTCGAAATGAGGGACGCCGACTTCATAAAAAAATTACGTTTAAACAAAACTTTGGTTAGAAATCTTTAAAGTTATGAATGACATTGGTATCGATTCTGACACGATTCTCTAAACTTAGAATTAAATTTAACATGAGTCTCTCCTTTTCATTCTGTATGGAGAATGACAAGGATACAAATTTACGTTTAGGTTTAGAGAATCATGCCAGAATCGACACCATTTTCATATTGACGATACGGAGTTTTGGCGGGATTTTTGCGAGTGCGGTTGGTATCTTATTTTAATTATTCTAAAATTCGTTCATAGTGGATATTGTGAAATAAAATTGGTGTGATTTGATGTTACAACCGTCTGCGCAACTGAAGAATTAGTGGAATCTTTAAAATATTCGCTATTCCGGTCAAGTGGACGCGAGAACTTTATACCTCACAGAAGCTTAGAGAAAAAGCCAACTCCATAAATTTCGTGCCAAACACTCCAAAAAACATTAGAATGCGTCACACCGACATTCGAATGTAAAAAAAGAAGATTAATATAACTACAGACTAGGCTTTATGGGGCATTGTTCCCTTTGCCTTCTCTGAAAAGGGAGAATCTTAAATAATATTGACGTTTCATTATACATAACGTTGAAATTATATACGCATACAATTTAGGTAAAGTTGAGATTTCTTATACTCAAAAAATGTATACTCATATTTAATATGAATGGAATTCTTAAAATATCATTTTGTTGCTTGTAAAATTCTGCTCTAATTTATTATTATTTTATATAGACTATGATGTTAACTTAATCGAGAAAAACGGAACGCATTCGGCAGTGAAAGAATATCTACGATAGATATAATATCATTGGAATATCGAAAATCCACGAGAATAGCATTTTTTACCATCAGTAGATATTTTCAATAGATATCCCTACTTTCGATATTATCTCGAAGCCGATATAATATCTACGCCGCGAGAATTGGGCCCCTGAACTTGTTTTTTTCTTTTCAGTTTTTATTTGAAGTAATATTTAAGCAGTCGGGTATTTTGATTTTTTAAATTTATCGTTTTAGTTACTGAAATACTAAACTACTACTACTGTTACATTCTAAACAGATTCAACCTCCTGGGTTTAGTAACACGGGAATTCATCTTAGGACATTCAATATTAATAGCCAATTCTTTCATGGACCAGTCAATGGGGATGTTCCGGACTATGCCCTGACGAGTCACATGAGAGGAGGGAATTAGTGCACACAATTTATGATTCTTCACAAGGGGATTCGTGATAAAATTGTTTGCAAAGTCGGCATCAATGAATTCCACCAAAATTTGGTTGCGTTCTGATGACTATCCCATCCTTTACAATGTCAGAGACCCTGTTTTTGTGTAAAAACGGGAGTAACTTAAGCAGTTTCATAGTAAGGCTAGTTGCTGGGTCAATACAAGGGCATATCCGTTTGAGAGTATGTGAGTTTAGAACCTTCCGCAAACTCCGGAATGGTTTACGAATGCTATTTGGAAACACTTGGAATGACCAATTACATTTTAGCCGGGATATCAGACTTCTCGGATCATGTTCTCTCACGAGAAATAGACTCAAATAACATGAAACAAAACACGCGGAGCGAACGGCCTGTCCGAGCCAAGCTTAACGTAGCGCAGGCTCTAAATCGGATAGAGCGCGCATCGCGAACTAATGGTAGGGAAGCCCAAGAGGGGATTTTTAGATTTACTCGAGCGCGGCAGATTAACATAAGGGGTAACTTTCCATCTAGTAAAGTACTCCCACCATACCTGAGCCGAACCTTCTATGTAGAGCCGAACGACTAGGGTGTTCAACAAAATTCAACAATCTGCCATGTCTTTATCAGTCTTTTGAATAGGAGCTAGTGGAAGGTTCACGTTCACAAAATTACTAGAGCAAAAATAATTGTCCTTCGACTCGAAGGTGCGTTTGGCCATCAAAAAGTTGCGAGAATATGCTCCGCCTTTATTCCTTTATTCGCATGCAGCATAAATTAACAAAAATGCGCGATGATATTATTTTAGAAATGTAATCCTTTATTCTATCTCTCGTATTTACATTTAATTTGAAAAGTAAATAACTTTCGGATTTTTAAATGAAATGGTTATTGTGATTTTTACCTTCGGGTAATTTTAATAAGGTTAATCATTTAACATTCTTTATATTTTAGATCAGATGAAGACGACGCAAGTGGCGGAAAATATACAAGGATGGAGGAGGATAATATTCAAGATAAGGAACGCTTTGCAAGGTAATGTATTAATAAGATTATACAAAATTCACGAAAGGGAAATAGATGCACTATAACGAATTGCTAGTACTACGTACCAACAACTATTATCGTCTTGAGCTACCTTTTATTCTGTTTTTATATTAAATCCAGTCAGTACCAGTAGCACTCAATCAATTCCCATAACGACAATATCTATTGTTGGGTTAGTTAGCGTGTGATGATTGAAAACGTGTCTTATCACGCAAAACGCGTTCCACAGGTTTGTCTTAAAAATATTAGACATTAGGTAGGTACCTACTTACTAGATGATATTGCTGTCAAATTTTCGGCTCATAGTTGCTGGAAGTTGTGAAGTCTTAAGATTGAAATATAAAATTTATGCTAACAGAGAATGAATCTTTCAGCAAGTAAATGTTTGTCTTTGTTATAATTTAAAAAGCTAATTTCTATAATACCTACGCAAAAATAAAGTACATTATTTAGTTTTTAAAATCTTTTTTTAAGACATTTAACACGTCTCTAAAATTATACGGGTCATTATACGAAGTACAAAAAAACTGTTCTTTGGTGATGTTTAACTATTTATAAGTTATTTCAAAAGCTGAAAAAATCTATTTAGTACATTATTGTGACTATTTACCAAAAACATAACAAATTCAACCATACCTTATCTGCTAATTTGTAAAAAAAAAATCAAAACAGAAGCGTGGTCATACTCCGTGAACTGTTCTAAACACATTTTTCGTCAGAAAAGCTGGGAAAAAAGTTATATTACACACTTGAATTAAAAATAACTCACAGTATCTGTTTTCATACATCCCAATAAACATCAAAACATAGCAGTTTATTTTTTCTTAAATAAATATTAATATATTAATATTAAAATTTGTAGCCATTATACAGGTGTTATAAAAATTTAAATCAATACCGTGAACTACTATTTTCACCCAAAAAAAATTTTTGAGACCTGAATTACTGCTCTTATTACCTGGTTACACTGTTTTTTGCTGTTAGTTCAGTTGTGTGTGCTAACCAACAAGAAGGTTATGTACTGTGAAGTTTTGTTAAAAAAATATATGTAATATACGTTTCTGGTAAAGTTTGGCCCGTCAATTCGGTTAGGGATTTTTTTGGTATGTAGTAACGTATTTACTTTGCCACCATAGCTCATAATTAATGCCATGGGGACTTATTTTGGTTGTAGTTATAAATTAATATGTAACTTTTAAAACTACGACGTAACATGATTTTAAAAATGATTCGTCAATCCCGTGATCGTAATTACTGTGAACTTGTTGTTCACAGAACTTGTATTTTTTCGGTGTTTAATACAAACACTTTTGTATGGCATTATTCAGAGTATGGTCATGGAAAAGGACGCCAGACGGTATAGGTGGCTACTTAAAAAGACAATGATCGACGAGTGGTTTTGGGGAATGACATTCCAGACCATCAAACTTTGATATTATTTTTTGAAAAAAAAATGGAAAATAACTTTAAAAAAAAAATTACTTCTTGGTTAGGTTAATGCCAATAAATGATATATGTATTATTGGGCCAATAGAGAACATCTTCTTTTTCAGAATAGCTTTACAAAACCTATCAAGGCATGATGAAAGTTTATCAAATTGTTTGGGCAAAAGAAAACCCAGATTATCTTCAAGCCAGGCGACTGAGTTGTTTGGAATGTCATTCAGACATCACTTGTCGTCATTTTAGGTTGGAATAAATGTAATCACCAATACAATCATTACATGCAACTCAGAAAATGAGCCCCCTATACCATCATGCTCTAAATTACGTGTCGATGAAATTTATTCTGACAGGTAAAACAAAATTAGGCCTCTGAGACAAAACAGGATAAATTTTTTGGCTGTTGAATACACCCAGAACATTATAATAAGAGAGTTCGCACATTTTTATCATATGATGACTTCAGTGATTCTTATAATTTAGTATCACAGAAATGACGTTCCTACTAAATATCATTTCCGTGGACATGAATGTTTGATTTTTTTTTATTGTTTTTTAAAATTATTGATCAAAATAATGTTTCATAATTTATTTTATCTTGGTTTAATGGTTGTCGGTAGAACATTTATTATTATCATAACTGTATTAATTCTTTAGTTATGATCACTTAGATCATTTCAGTGAAAACGTGCGTCAATTCTATGAGACTTAAAAAATGGTTTTTCATGTTTTTACGTATTAAACGTAATGAAAATTCTGTTTTCTGTTGTGATTATGGTATTTGATTATATTTTGCAAAAAATAAATGTTTGAAACCCAAAAAATCCTCACATTAATTTTTGTGATTTAAAAAAGGCCATTTCGTATAATGACCCATACCTATCAGATATATGGCTTGATTGTAATGTATTATAAACACTACAGAGTTAGATAGATACCTAAATATTAAAGTAAGAGTTTGAAACCTCCTAAACTTGGTACAAATGGTTATATGGATCCCTCACATTCACAATAGTTTAAATGACTTTAAAAAATGTACCTAGTACTTGCCGAGTAACTTTTTGCAATTCCATGCTCACCAGATACCCACTGTCAAATGACTTTAAATTTTATTGTCAGACATAGAGAAAAATATTACTTAAAAAAATACAATGTAAAAACTGACCCCATAAAAGCAAAAACAAGTAAAATTAAGGGTTGATGTTGAAAAAGAAACCCCATTCACATAACTTTATATCATAATTATTTATACGAAAACAAAATTGATTACCTTAGTAAAGGGGTATGGGTAAAAGTGGCTTGATTTTCAAAGTCTGCGGCCACGAATGCTTTATTTTTTAATGAATAGAACTAAAAAAATTAAAAATAAAATATTAAGGCTATATATCTGTAAAGTACATGGAAGCCAAGATATGATTTTTTTAAAATAGAATAATCGTAAATTCATATCATTAAATCTTAAGTGCTTTTTTGTATGAATTGTTGTCTAAAACATACCATGTAAGTTAATAACGGTTTAACAGACCCTTTTTTGTCAGGTTTGACCGCCTCAGCCAATCACATCAGTCTTTGGATATTCCACTTAGGTCTCGTGTTTGTGAAGATCATGTCAACTCTATATATATGCCAGTGTAGGTGCATTGCGCCGTGCCGGACAGCTCGGGATCCCCACAGGCAAGGTCATGGGACAGGCGCAGCCACGGCGCACACTCGTCCTCTCCTGCCCACTCTTCTTCGGCGGGAGGGAGCGGCCAGGGGATCATCCTCCCGCTCCCTCTCGGCTGCTGAAGGAGGCAGCCGCCTTCCATGCCGTCTCGCTACTGAGAATGGCCTCTACCATGCTCCTCAGCGAGAGGGTTCCGCCTTCTAGCGCCGCGATTAGATCGCAGCGCTGCTGTAGCCAGGCCGGGCACTCCAACAATGTGTGCTCGGTCGTTTCGTCCGGGGCACCGCAGTGATGGCACTGCGGCGTTTCTACCCGGCGGGCGATACGGTATAGGTAGTAACCGAAGCATCCGTGTCCGGTCAGTATCTGCACTATGCGGAAAAGAGGCCGCCACACCGGCTTAGCGCAATGCCGACCGACGCCAGGCAAACCGCCTCCTCTACCGATTTTGCCTTCGCCGCCACCAACGTGTCGTCGGCGGAGCAGACAACCTCCGTGCAGGGAAGAAGGCTGCCTCGCAACACCCAGTCGTACCCCCGGTTCCAGTGCAGTGGACCAGCACTGACCCCTGGGGTACCCCTGCGGCCATGGCCCGAGAGCATACGCTTCCATCGGGCCCCTCGTAGAAGACTGACCTCCCCTGCAGGTAGTCCTCCACGATGGCTCATAGGTATGGAGGCACGCAGTGAAAATGTAGTGCCTCCATACACTCGTGGGGGAGACTGTTATCTTCTTCTTCTTTCAACGGGCATTTCCGCAACTTGACGTCCTTATGGCGCCTGTTTTGCGTTAGGATGGTGTATAGCCGGAATCACTCCAGCCAACCCAGCTTCATCAGGAACGCCCCCAGGGCCTTCACATTTGTGACTGCCTCTTGGAGGTTTCCCGGTGAGCAGAGTTATTTCGCCCGGTATTCGGCCACTCCGTTGCATTCCAGCAGAACGTAAGTAGCTGTTTCTTCTACCTCCGTGCATCCTCTGCATAGAGGGATAGAGGGTTGTCCGTGACACCTAAGTTAAAAAAATGTCTGTTAAAATGTGCATGTCCGGTAATAGCACCTGTTACCATGCGCAATGTAGGTTTGCTTAGCTGTAGAAGAGTTTTGGAGAGGACAGCGTTCACCCGTGGCAAAGCGAGCTTGGTCTGCCTGCACGTCTCCAGATCGAGCCAGTGTTGGCTGGTGTAATGCGGCTGTGTGCTCGCAGATTTTATTCACGAGACAGCTTACTGGTATCGGGAAGATTGGTTCGGGACCTGTTGGGGTCGAATCGGACCCCTTCCAGGCCAGCTCATCCGCAGCGTTGTTTCTGCGTGATCCACTGTGTCCCTTTATCCATTGGATAAAAATAGAATTGCTTTACCCTACCGTGTTTAGGCAGGCACATTCTTGCAGGAGGCTCGATTTGACTAAACAGGCATCTAAAGCTTGTAGGACTGATTTGCTTTCGGACAGTATTCGTATTTCCTGTCCTGTTACCTTTCTTGAAAGGATCGCTCTTGCCGCCAGTATGATGCCCATACATTCAGCTTCAAAAACTGTGTTGTACGGGCTTAAGGGGAAAGCGATATGTATATTGAGGTCCGCAGAGAAAACACCCGCGCCCGTGCCCGATGAGGTTTTAGAGCTGTCGGTGTGGATCATGAGAGCCTATTGTATGATACCTTGGGATCGTTGTCATCCAGTAGATGTATACTGTACTTTTGTCAAATATGAAGGCAGGTATTATTTTGGGGGAAGACTGTTAAAGGCGTTGCGGATGTCTAACTACACCGCAATAGCAATCTCTCCCCGACGAGTGGCCGCCTCGGTCCACCCCTTCAAAAGGGCCACCACCTCCACCGTGGACCGGTTTCGCCGGAACCCGAACTGGTGCTCTGCCAGATTTGGGTCCGGCTCCCTCAGGTGCTCGATGATACGCCCCGCCAGAATTCTTTCAAAGAACTGCCCAGCGTCATCGAGCACCAATGCTACCGCGGCCCAGGTAGGTACTCTAGGTACTCTAGATGAAGTTTTGGATCTGTTTCTTTTTTTTTCATTAATGGCAGCTTTTAGAAAGCGTTACCACAATACTAAACATGTTTAATAATCTCAGGAGATAATTTAATGAGCTTTTATATCATATGACTTTTGTTAGAATTCAAGATCAAATATCTTGGTTCCGATATTAGTTATGGAACTACTACTTTGCTAAGAACAATTCATACATATAGTACTGTCAAACAATCATAATTAGTTCAGTGGCCGCTGAAAAAAAAAATCAAGTCAACCTCCATACAAAATTACCCAATCCCCTTTGTTTTTTTCACGCTTTAGTCGTGAATTAGTACAATCAATCTGTAGGTTGAGTGGTGAAAAAAAAACCTAAAGGGTAAGTCTTGTTTTTTCTGTTGCCTTGTTTTTTTTGACCATAATTGTAGAGGGCGTTGAGTACTACAATTTATATCATTGTTGCAATCTCGTACATCAAAAAATGCGCATTGTAGGGGGCGCTAAAGTCTCAAAAAAAAGTGTTTTTTCACTTTTCACCCTGAAAATATCATTTTAATGGAAAAGTTGTTCCGTACATAATTACCAACAACTTTTATATAAACAATGTGGATGCCGGAAGGCAGGCGTTCCTTGCTCGGTTGCTTACGAAAACTGTTGCGGCTAAGATTGCAGTAACGTGCCACAGATCGAGGTGGAAGAAGACTCGTACACTTTTCATCGAAGCGATTCTCACTAAAAATCAGTAATCCAATGTCTCAAAATAGTGATAAAGAATCGTCCACAAGTAACACGAGTACTACTCTCACTAGAACCGAAACTCCAGAGCCACAGAGAAAGAAACTACGAACTTCCAAGAAATGATATATTATATATTCAATTCTGCAACAGCACCTATTAACATACTTTTCGATATTTTGATAGCAATAAACATTTGATTTATGATGTTAGTTACAATTTGTACTAATTTACCTTATCAAATATACCTGTATAAATTTTAAAATTCTTACAATATCAAGCTTTTTGATTTATTTGCTATAACGATTACAATTGTTTATAAAAACATGTTGTTTTAAATTCATATTCTGGAGTTAAACTTTATTATTAAACTTTGAAGTTGCACATCTGATTTTTTTTTCCAAATGTTGCTCGGACGCATTAACAGCAGGAAATAAGTTAATAACAATTTAGAATTTTTATCTCATATGTTCGAAAATAATAATAATCTTTCTATCAACTACTTTTGTTCTTGCAATTAATTCATGCAAGAAAATGAATCCAAAGCTCTAATTGTCGATATTTCATGTCAATAACAAATCAAAATTATTACAATCATGAAAAAAAATAAAAAATAGTAAAACGTACATTGAAATGTGCACTGCAAATGTGTACTTGAACTGCCCAAAACCGCTCTATTGGATTTTTCATACCTGCGCAATTTATAACTTGAAAACGGTAAGTAATACAAAAAAATTGTTTATAAGTACAAAAGTTGTTGGTAATTATGTACGGAACAACTTTTCCATTTAAAGTTTTCCATTAAAATGATATTTTCAGGGTAAAAAAGTGAAGAAACACTGTCTTTGAGACTTTAGCGCCACCTGCAATGCGCATTTTTTGTTGTACGAGATTGCAACAATGACATAAATTGTAGTACTCAACGCCCTCTACAATTATGGTCGAAAAAAAAGTTTCTAAAATGCATACAAAACAAGAAAAATACGTTTCAAAAAAATTTTGAAGGTTTTTTGAGTTTTTCAAAAAACGCCTACGAGTTGAACATGCCCATCGCCAAGGTGGCTTAATAACGTCATTTGGCAACAGAAAAAACAAGACTTACCCTTTAGGTTTTTTTTTCACTGAAACGATTTTTTTTCGACAGATTGACTGTACTAAATATCATTATTCACATATGCATATTTCTTATCATGACGAGATATGTGGACATAGTTTTTTCTTTGCATTCCCATAGGGAGGGAAGATTAGGCAAAGAAGCATCATCATCTGACATAAGACAGAAAGCCTTTGCTACAAATCACAAATTTATACTTGATCGTCGATACAGATACCTCAATTTAAATGTCGGCAAGTAACGTCGGTCGGTACTTGGTTCTTCAATTTTAGTTTTACGTGTTACAGTGTGTTTTTTTTTCTCTATATAAGTAGATAAAATACTTTAACATGCCATTTTTTTCAGCCGAGAAAATCATTGTGAAATTGAACGTCGCAGAAGAAACAAGATGACAGCGTATATTACGGAACTTTCTGATATGGTTCCTACGTGTTCAGCGCTTGCTCGCAAGCCAGATAAACTGACTATATTGCGTATGGCAGTAGCACATATGAAAGCTTTGAGAGGTATTCAATGCATGTAGTTTAAGTTACTTCTTATATCTCAACAGTAAACTTATTATTGATCTTTATTAAGAATATTATGGTGAAAGAAAAAAATATTATTTCGGGTGCATTTTACCGTAATTGCGTCGATTAAAGAATGATGTGCTTAGATGGAGCATGCAAATTTAAATCTTTGTAAAAATAGTATGGTTCCGATTTCTTAACTAAGCATAAAGCTTAAAAATAAACTTTCTGTACCAAAAAAGAGTATTTTACCAAACTTTACGCGTAACTCAATCAATGTCACTCACCGCACATCAGAAATCATCATCAAAGTGGTTGGATTACTAAAGATTAGCTTACGGCGCGTGCGGTGCGATTGTGCGAGGCCATCAGTAAATGCTGCGTAATTTGATGCTGTCATAAAATGTGCCATCAGTGTAATATTGTTACTTCTTCTTGTGAATCTGATTCTTATGAAAGCATCCCATATGATATTGTAATATTACGTACTATTAGGCAATTTGATTCCAGCCTGACCCACCATAAACTTATTTACCTAAAAACATTCAATAATCAGAGTAATTTATTCAGTTTAGTCTGTTACAATACCTAGAAACTACACCATCGGTTCCTTATACTGAGAAGAACCGACAAGAAACTCGACAAGGGCTGTATTTTCTCCCTGTATATTATTATTTACAGAGTCGTCAAGTTGAAAAATGACTTCAAAGATGATTCATGAAGTCACCTTTCATTACATAATGTGCAATTTACAATCATTGTTTTCCTGTATTTTGATTGCTGTGTCACACAATATAAATACAAATTGTGTTATTTATATAAGTGTAACTGTAACATTGATATTTTCATTATCAAAGTAGTTAGGGCAACTAATCTCCAGTGGCAGCATTCGTTCCCGAGCATGACGCATGAACCAGTCATTGCTTCGCTCAACTATGTTTTAAGGATCTTAACGATCCACCGAAGAGACTTTAAAAAGAGCATAAATACCCATAACCCACTTTACTAACTACAACATATTTATTTAAATTAAGGTCAGTCCATTACAATAAGGACGAATTTCGCAAAATGTACCTGAAAATAAACTTGTTATTTTCTGAACAATTGTTCAGAAAATAACAAGATTTTTTCAATTGAAAAGACAGATATTGCCGCCTTTCTGTGTTTAAGGTTTGCATTCAAATATGAAATATTACCCATAGATTTAAGCTCCGCTTATATTTTTACCAGAAATTTTCTTTGTTTTAAGAAATCAAAAGAGTATTTTTGTTGTGATTATTTGAAATTTGTATGGAAATTTGAACTAGTTCCAATTTTATGTAAAAGATTATTCACTGTATTGATAACATGGTCAAATTTTAAGCATCTTTGTATCATATTAATGAAATGTTCTTGTTGTAGAAAGGTCTTATCTACAATTTTGCATTTTCTATTAAATAATTTAGCTGTTTTAAGTTAAATCATTATAAAATAGAAAAAAAAACTTAACAGTTTAAAAGCGAATTATTGGGCAAGTGGGTCAGGAATCAATTAGTTTGATAGTACATAAATGATATCCTCATAAGTGTATTATCCCGAGCCTCAGCAACGTATATAATGAGATTAATGAAAGTATCACTCAATTCTTATGCAATTATTTTTATAATCTGGTGAAAAATCACACATACCATATTCTGCATTATTTTTAGGTACGGGTAACACCTCAACAGACGGCACATACAAACCCTCATTTTTAACAGATCAAGAATTAAAGCATTTGATTCTCGAGGCTGCTGATGGATTTTTATTTGTTGTGAGTTGTGATACTGGTCGTATAATTTATGTCAGCGACAGTATAGCACCAGTTTTAAATTACTCACAGGTAAATGTTTTATTATTTTTAATTAAGCATGACTTAAAACTGAAGAAGAAATTGCAAGTATACTGTCTCTTATTTTAGGGCGACTGGTATTCTTCATGTTTGTATGATCAAGTTCATCCAGACGATGTTGAAAAAGTTAGAGAACAATTAAGCACTCAAGAACCGCAGAACACAGGCAGAATACTAGATTTAAAAACTGGCACTGTTAAAAAAGAAGGGCACCAATGTAAGTATTTCTTTATCCATAGAACAAATTCTTAAGTCATTTTATTTGCTGGTCTCTCAAAAAAAAACAGTATGCACCAGCCTCTAACTTTCTCGTGCAAGAAGTAAAAAATGTAGATAAACGGACAGGGCAGGGGCATATTCCAAAAAAGGTAAATTTAAAAATCAAAAAACCCGACTGCTTAATTATTCTTCAAATAAAAACTGAAAAGAAAATAAACAAGTCCAGTAGTCTATAATTCTGTTAATAAGGAACAAAGCTACTTTAACAGTCGGGACCCATTAGATATTCAAGAATACATAATATTTTTCAACAGTGGGTCCCGACTGTTAAAGTAGCTTTGTTCCTTATTAACAGAATTATACACTACTTTACTTGTTTTTTTCTTTTCAGTTTTTATTTGAAGAATAATTAAGCAGTCGGGTTTTTTGATTTTTAAATTTACCTTTTTTGGAATATGCCCCTGCCCTGTCCGTTTATCTTTACTTTCAATCACTTTTTAGTTAGTATTTTAAGGCTGTATATACCGTAGTCTTGTTACTTCAGTAAGGGAATTAATATCGCGGGAATTATTAAGTACCTTGCGTCGGTCTAAAAGATTGATTTATTAAGACATATAAAGACTTTACCAGCGGGGTCAAGGCTACAGATGGGCCTCAATTTTCGCAAAAATGTGTGAAGTTAAATCAAGTCGTTACATAAATATCTCTAATGTATATAAATTTTATAGTAAACTAGCACTTACTCAAAAAGTCATCTTTTGTTTATGTTTTTTTTAATAGTTTAGCAGTAAATATAAAATTCATTTACTTTTATTCGTCGACTATTTAAAATTGGCAGTGGCTGCATTGTCATGTCAATGCCGGACGTCTAAGACGATATACACAAATTCAGTGTCAGTCCCTAGTCTCATAATTTGATATACCTACATAATTCACAGAAACCCAATATGTAGATGCCAGAAGTTAACTTCAAATGTTTTTAATCACCCTATATACAATACCAATCAATGACGTTTATGTCGCAGGTTGAAGAAAGAAGTAATTCCCATCTGTTGTTTTGGACAATGGTGGCAACTGCCTTAGATCACTAAATTAAATAATTATGCAATCACCAAAGCAAAGTTTATAATATTTGATTAAACTAAAGGCGCATAATAAAATTTTCATAACGTTAGGTAGAGCACCATAGCAATCTCATTTATTATCAATTTATAGTTCTCTTTGTAGTTTTCTTTTAAAGCGTTCACATTTAACAGGTCAAAGAGTTTGTGTTCGACCCTTTTTTATTGGTAGTGTAAAGCTCGAATGAAGAGTACTCCCAGTAGTGCAACCATGGCAATTATTTTCCAATTTTTTTTTTGTTATAAAAATACCGAATAACGTATCACTGTTAAGCACAAATGCTAAGTAACTTTTACAAATATAATCAAATAAACCTATTACTTACTTTATTTTTAAATCTTTTTCATCAATTAAATACTTACTAGCAAACCAGTAAACCAAATGTTCACCAAAACCTGATTTAAAAAAAAATTGTATTTAATTAATTGAGAACTTCGGAGATTTTGAGTGGTTTCGTTTGAAATTCGTGATTTCTCGAAAACCGGAAGTGCTACGTTACTGAAATCCGGTTTGTAGTCTTATCAGACTATTCTTAACTTATAACTTAAATATTCTCTTTATCTAACTCTTACGGTTTGGCCGCTGAAACAGCACCACAGACGGACGGACGGACTTGTCTAATAGATAAGAGATCTTATACTAACTATCTATACTAATATTATAAAGAGGCAAGATTTGTATGTTTGTAACAAATAATCTGTCAAACTACTGAACCGGTTTCAAATATTAATTCATCATAAGGTAGCTACATTATTTATTATAACATTTTTCTTTATTTAAATACATTTTGTCCGAGTGACATAGGCTATATTTTATCCCGATAAATAAATTTCGCCCGTACAATGCCCGGGTGGATCACTAGTAAGTATAATATATTATTATAGATGCGAAAGTGAGTTTGTTGCGCTTCCGTGCCCTAATAGCTAAATCGAATATAATGAATTCCCATATAGAAGTAGATGGGAACTTGGTTTTTAGCTACAACATCGCAATACTTACAGGCGTAGGGTGATGAAAGGGGTGATTTACCTATAAAAATCTACATTATTTACTTTGAATTTTGCAGAATAATTACAAAACCAATATTATCGCGAGCTGATTAATAAATACAGGGATCCCAATAAGTATGTACTTACTAGTGAAAAATGGGTTATTTGTCGTTATGTTAAGTAAACCTTTTTTGTAACATTAAGTAATATCGTTGAAAAAATGAGAAACAGTAAAATTCTGAGTTTTTCATTAAAATTCAATAATCATAAATACCTATTATGATAATATATTTTTCATCATTCAATAAGAAGGAACTGTATCACAGTTTTATTGTTAGTACTTCGTATAGGATCTGATACTGCGAATACCCCATTTTTTTTCTTTTACATAGTACACCGCGCTATCACTTGGTCATCGTTGTAACTTTTTAAATATTTGTCGAAATGACATACTGTAAAAAGCAAAGTTTATCGTCTTTAAATATCAAAAGCGATCAAAGTATTTGTTGTGATAAAACATGATTTGTTAATACAAAATGTGCATTTTGGAAATAGATATCAAATAATATTTTAGTTTTGATTCACTATTTTAGCGGTAATAACTTACACATTAAAAATAGATGTATGGAGTCACGGACTTTTTTTAGAACTATTTAAGAGATACATTTTCACTTTACATTTTTTATTGTTTTTGCAGTGCAGGCCAAAATGGCTCGCAGATAAGAGATTTTTTTCCGTCTTATGTGACACTTATTGTTAAATATTGGCCAATTCACTCAATAACTACATAAATTATTATATATATGTAATTATCGTATATGAGCTATATTACTGTTTCATTAAGTTTCATTAAAATCCATTCAGTATTTTTTAGGTGAAAGAGTAACAAAGCTCTATACAAACGTAAGATTGAATTTAAAAGCGTATATACAACTTTAAAGCGTTGTAGATCCTTAACAATCATATAAAATGAAAAATGGTGTTAGGAACCTAGATATGATTTTTGATTATCTAGACAGTGATACCCCACTAGACATATTTTGTCAACCTATTTTTTTTACTTCGTCACAATATGGCGCCTAATTTTGCCCATACTGCACTCCCATGATTGAGACGAATCGATTGATGTATGAATCATCAAAATCGGTCCAGGCGTTTGGTCTCTAGTGTGCCACAAAGGAACAAACATACATATATAGACTGTTAAACACAACCCTGTCTGCGCGTCGCGCTTCACGCTCTTGCATTGCGCAGCCGGGTAAAAAGGCTAGCCTCTATGGGATTATAGCGTATCACAAATTTTACAGAATTCTTAAACCCAACTAATGCCGAAGGTGACATCATTTAGACTGTTAACACAATCTTTATCAAATAATGCTCTACTAACCCCACATGAACTATTTGTGGTATAATCTTTATTATCACAAAGTATTTGTACAAGAGATTTTTAAAAGTATGTTTATCATTTTTGCTTTAAAATATTATATTTTCAATAAAAGGTGACCATATTATATTGTATAAATACTCTTATATGGTTCAAACGTTAAAAGCATAGTTTATTTTATAATATTGGTTGTTCGTCTTCCAAACTACCTTTATTTGACAAGATTATATTCTTATTAAGTAGACACCAGCCTGGTATATACAATGTGTAACAGATGCAACTCGCACCCTGAATTAAGTTTGTATATATAACATATGTATATGTGCAAATGAATCGAGTTTGGATTTACCAAAAAGCTCTTATTACCTTGTATTATGTATCATATTGTTTTGTTAAGGTTAAATTAAGTGAATATCAATATTTTTTTCGGGGTTTTTAGATTAAAGTATACTTTGTTTTAGCGAAATGTTTAGGGAGCAATTAATAAAAAAAATGTTGTATTACAAAACTTATGAAGTGAGCTATTTGCCAATATGAATATGACCTATTTTCTTGTGCCACGGGGCACGACTTTATTGAATTAATTAATGAAATGTTAGCAGAAATCTGAGAAATATCTACATAATCTGTGTTTCGCGTTACCGAAGTCGCGTTTATCGAAACTTTTTGCATTATATTTTAACCCATGCATAAATTAATTCGTTTGGAAAAAATATATAGTATCTCTTTATAGCAATAGTTACATTAAAAAACTGTGTCTGCCGAGAACAAAACCACAACAGTTTTATTTTAATGATTCTATAAAGCAAATAATTAAAAGTAAGGTATCTCTAATACACTCGGCATCACAAAAATCGCACCCACACACGAAGATAACTTTCCAGCGTTATTATTACCCTTAACACACGTATTTACCTCGACTGTGTGTCATTTGAAAGCCCATTAAATAAACTTAAAAAAAATTAAATTAATTTTTATTGAAGCGGAACTTCTTTACGCACGCTTGACGTTTCGAAAAGTGTGTTCGGGCGAGACGAACGGGAAATATGTGTATGTACATACATGTATATATTGTACACACAGATATAAATATATATATATACAGATGGAGCTAAAGAATTTTTATCGGAACAGTACAAAAAAGTTTACGAAAAAATAAAAATCCTTAATTATAAACAGATTAATTACACAGAAAAATATAAAATGGTTCTTAAAACTATCCTGAAACCTAGTGTTACCCCCCCTCATCCCCTTTCCCGGATGACGGCTTCCATACGCTCCCTCATGGATCTTACCAATTTTAGGAGCTCTTCTTAGGGGATACTGGTCCATTCCTCAATAACGGCCTCTTCGAGCTCCTTGAAAGTCGTGGGAGCACGAGACCGAACTTTGCATTTCAAATGGTCCCAGAGGTGCTCTATCGGGTTCAGGTCTGGACTTCTCGCTGACCATGACAGAGATCCCAACCTCTTGAAGGTAGTAGCGCACAATTAATGCAGTGTGTGCGCGAGCGTTATCGTGCAGTGAACCCCTCGCCAACAAAAACGGTACAGGGGACCTCATGCTCTTCCAGGATTTCTGTGACGTAGCGGTGAGCAATCAGCGACTCTTGCCCGCAAGCACCTCCAGTCTGGGAGACGCTTACAAGGCTGGTTTTGACGTCGGCCGACATGCCGCCCCAAAACATACAGGAACCACCCCTGTCTTCCACCATCTCCTGGATGCAGGCTTGGGCGAAACCTTCCCCCTGTCTTCTCTACACTCTTCTGCGTCTATCGTTGCAGAAAAGGCACACTCACGTCTCGTCTGAGAAGAGAACAACTCTCCATTACTCAAGGGTCCAATTTCCGTGGTCGCTAGTAAACTGCAAGCGGGCAGTCCCATTTTGGACCCGTAGCAGCTCTTTGAGTCACTATCTTCCTTTCCCTCAGTATTCGTCTAACCGTAGAAACGCTCACGGTTCTGCAAGCTGCCTGGAGCTGCTGTTACAACTCAACAGCTTTAGAGAACCGATTTCTTGAGATGTCGATACGATAAATAGGTCGTCTCTCTCCGAGGTGCAGCGACGTCTACCAAACCCATTTTTTAATGAAATGAAAAGTTTTTTTTTTATTTAATGGGCTTTAAATTGACACCAATATTGGTGGGAGTACATGCGCTTGTTAATGGTTAATAACACTTGAAAGTTATTTTCGCGGAGGTGCGATTTTTTTGACGCCGAGTGTAGTTATTCAACCAAGTTTTCAGTTTTTCAGTGCCGTCTTTGACCTATTGGAGGCCCTGGGCATATTAGGATAATGGGGCCCCTATGACCCCCGTTTGGTGATCTAACAAGAACTAGGGACTTTGTATTTGTGATCTGAGGTGTCCTCCTATCGATCACGGGGCCCTGGGCACTTGCCCAAAGTGCCCACTGGGAAAGACGGGTCTGATTGTTTTAATACTGTGGATGTAACCTCTGTCTAACATAAGATTGCATTCAAATAATACTGATCTTCTTCTATGTGAGTAATAGTGAACTTTTCAGGGGTCACCAGGGTAGGGTGAGGATAGGCAATGCAATGCGCTTAAAACTTTGATAGCGCGTCTATATGTTTTGATGGCTGTTTACCATCAGGCGGACAACTTTGTTGGCTCCCTTTTATCAAATAAACAATAATGTTTAAAAAAAACTCATTTTTGATTTTATCTATTAAAAATAAATGGTTCTGCAGCGTCCATGCGTCAAGTGATGGGCTCGCGTCGTGGGTTCATATGCCGCATGCGCGTCGGTGGGTCGTCGGAGGGCGCGCACCTAGGCCGGCTGCGCGCTCGCAACTCGTTGGGACCGTCGCACGATGGCCACAATTACGCTGTTGTGCATTGCACCGGATACATAAAAAATTGGCCCCCTACAGGTATTTTTGTCGCTATATAGTGTTTTACACTATAACGAACATTAAACTGCACACTATCAATATTGTATTTGCGTATGTACTTTCACCTGTATTATTTTTAATGAGAATTATATCATCATATTCTGTATATGACTTGTATTTTGTAATTCAATAATTCAGTACATATTATAATGTAATAAGTAAAATTTTGTGCACTTTATAAGTTCGTGATCATCTGGCATATATATTTGGGACATCAGATCTGTTTCCAGGAATGCAGATGGATCGTCCGGTGGATGATGAATTACACGCGTCTCACTGTTGTCTTGTGGCCATCGGCCGGTTACAGGTAAGTCTTGACTAATAACTAGTAATAACTTTTTTAACAAATATAAAAGTCCTATTCATATAAAAAAGTAAGAAATCTAAGTTCTAACTCTTTACGTAATACCTACAGTACCTGCTTATATCTAAAGTACATTAGTCAAATAATTAACATAATAATAGACATGGTGTCGATGATATGCATTCCAATTACCAATTCCAATCCAAATATTAATTTGACTTTTAATGTAGGTACTTTAGACTTTAATGTATTATTTAATATTTTATTTTTAGTGGTTTTGTTTTTATGAAGCAATTTTGAATTTTTGTAAGAAAAGTTTTTATTTTCCACTTCTTATAAAATCTAATCGTATTTCTTAAAATAACCAAACACGAACTAAGTTCCTAATGTTTATAATTGAGAAGTAATAGTACTTGACATCTTCACCAAATGGTTAATTGGAATTTGGGACCATCTCGCCAAAAACAGATTGAAACAAAATATGTCAAAATAGGTTATGCATCTCGGATTATACAGTAAATGAGAACAACATTTTCACAAAACAGCCGAGGGTATAATTACATCCTCTTACCGAAACCGAAATTTATAATCGTAGGTAGGTACCTAGGTATTAGATAGATGCACTATATTGCGAATTTACGATGCGAGATATTTTCAAGGATGAAACACGTTAGACCGTATTGGCCGTAGCACAGTTCACTTATATTAAATAATATATTTTACATGGATTATGGACACCTTTACGCTAAATCGGGCGGTAACCGACTGACAACCGAGCAACAAGCAACGCTCGGAAAAAACTTGGTCCTGCGACAGCTCGGCCACGGCCCGTTGCATGAATATAGCGCCGGCGCGGTGCCGCCGAGCAATCTTAGTGATCCCTCAGTTAAAAAATCGTTTTTGCCCGGACGAGTGTACTCACCTATTTACTTCATCTGCATGAGTAGACTGCATCACGGCGCAACGGTACCTACCTAATTACTCGTGACCGTGCTACGGCTAAAGCTCGGCTCGGACTCGACACGGTCTAGCCGCTAGACCAGTCAGTACGAGACCAGTAGTAGATCAGTCACGCTAGACTCTAGCGTGACTGATCATCCTTAATAAATTTCTTAGGTACCAAAATCTAATTGGTACCTATATTTTCATTTTTAAATAATATAATTTTAGAAGTGGTGACTTTCCCCAACCTTTTGCCAAAAAAAAAATACTTAGAGCATACTCTAAGAAAAAAATGATTTCCAAAGTTGTCCCCGCAGATTTATTATTATTAATTTTTCCAAGTTCATATTTTTTCCCAAAATAAGGTAAAACACTCCCAATCTAGAAACCCTAAGTCCCACAGAGTAGATAAGTATTTACTCTTTAATATTGATTCATAATTTCTAATACAGTAAAATAACAAACTTATGATAAGTTTCCATAATTCAAAGATGTTGAAGAACAACAAAGACTTAATGAAATAAGTCAAAATCACTGAATAATAAGTATTTATTGCTACTTTGAGTAAACCGATAATTACCGGTTCAATGCTTTTACCTAATCTGTGAATTAAATTTAGATGCTTGTTTACAAGCGACAGGCTGTGCGGATTTCGCGGATAGGGGCGAATCGAACAAAGTCTAAAAAAGTAAAAATCCGTCACAACCATCAGGTGTGCAAAGTTGTGTACTTAGAATTTGTTCTCGCTCGCCAGGTAACGTCGACGCCGAACACGACGGAGGGTAGCCTATGTAGCAGCGGCGTGGAGTTCGTGTCGCGACACTCTGTAGACGGTCGCTTCACGTTCGCCGATCAACGCGCTACCCAAGTGGTGGGATACGCCCCCGCCGATCTGCTGGGCAAGCTCTGCTACGAGTTCTACCACCCCGAAGATCAGCAGCATATGAGGGATAACTTTGATCAAGGTATTTTTGTCTTTCCTTCGCTTTATGTGCTAGGTAACGTCTTCAACAAATACGACGGAGGGCAGCTTATGCAACAGCGTCGTGGACCACTTTGTAGACGGTCCCTTCACGTTCGTCGATCAGCGAGCTACGTAAGTGATGGGATACGCCCACACCGCTCTGTTGGGGAAGCTCTTTAGTGTTGCCATATGATATATATATGTAAATAAAGTTTCAGAGTAGTTTATTGATAGTGTCAATTTGTCCAAAAGTAAAGCTATACAAAGGTACTGCGCACTTACCCACCCATATAACATGTGGTATTTGAATGAATCATTATAATTTGTGGTATTTTTCTTTTGTTGCAGTTCTTAAATTAAAGGGGCAGATCATATCTCTGATGTACAGATTTCGTGCGAAAAGCAGAGAATTTATATGGTTAAGGACTTCCGCGTTTGCCTTTTTAAACCCTTACAACGATGATGTAGAATATATTGTCTGTACAAATACTTTGGCTAAGTAAGTAATAAATGTATATTTTGTATTATTTATATTCATTGTGTTAGAAATGCTAATTTGATTTATTATTACAGTCGGTCATTAGGAAGCACGACAGGTGAACCTCCCGCTGAAGAGGGCTATGATTATCATTTGCGTCACCGTGACGTTTATCAAGCGGCTCAACCGCAAGCAATACACCAACAACATCACGCACCCCCAGGTAACGCCAAAATCAAAGTGACAGATATTGTTTCATCCCCTAAACTAAACAAGGTAACATATGATACTTAAACAAGAAATACTGTCATTTCTTGTTTTAAGTATCATTGTGTAGACTCGTATGATAGAGCCGTTGGCGTGCTGATAATGAAAGGAACCTCAAAATTTGTTTTGTTCCGCATTGCTATTACTATACAAATTCACGAAGTTATTGCGGATTCGTTGGTCCTGAGCTTACTAGACGATATAATACGGATACGGATGCTTTTTCTTGCTGACGAATGATACCTTCATAATACTGGTTGGAGGACCGTATATGTTGGGTGATCCAACATATTGATAGCTCGAAGGACCAAAATGTAGGGCAACCCATAATAGAACTATTTTGCATTACAAAACAAGTGAAGAAGCAGTCTTATAACTTGGTGTAGTCTATGGTAACTTTTACAGTGAATATAGAGCTTTACTTACAGTTTACGCTTCAAATTTACCAGCGTCGACACTATCCTCCCTTTTCAATGCGTTGACAGCTTTTCAAATTCATAGCGTTTTATAATTTGGCACGGTAACGTGCAGTGAATAAAAAATAAAATTGTTACATATTTACTTCGTGTTTCGATTGGAAAAACAAGAATTAAAAAAAAAAGTGAACGATTGATGTTTCGTGTAATGAGGTGAATGCAATATGTGTTAGTTGGTGCAAAATATATTATAATATTGATAGAATTCCAAAGGAATTCAGATTTTAAAACTGAGGTGGGCTTAGCAAAAGATTCCTAGTCCAGAATATTTATTTGGCCGAGAAAGACACTTCCTATTCTAGTCTCTCGGAGGAACAGGTTTGGTTACATACTCACTGTTTTATCTTTGATAAAACATACTATATATAATTGTATATATAGTGAGTTTGTCGCTACTATAATTTTCTAAACAAACCAAACTTATTTGCACTATAAAGTCACAAATATAATATAGACAGAAATTAATAGCAATAAATTAATAAATTAAGTCTGTTATCACCTTTACCGCTCGGTATACCGAGCCTCACACTATAGTGTGAGGCGTCGTCCTAATTGGCCACGATCGTACGATGCCACTATGCGATCTTAAGCTAGCTATGTGACAGCATCGCACGATGGCTTTGCGCCATGATCAAATCACCAGCGCTTTTTTAACCATGGCTCTAGATATAGAGACGAGATGTTTTTGCTGTCGGGCCATATTGTATTGAAAACTGCAAATGCCATAGAAAAAAGGAAACAGAACAGATGATAAACTTTAGTTCCAATTGCTATGCTTGCGTACATGCCATCAATTAGGACACTCAAAGAGTTTGGTGTATATTATTACCTGATCGTACAAATAAAACCTATCGTACGATCGTTATTAAACAATACATGTGCTCGAGTGATGGCTTACGAGCTGTAAATAGGACACTTCTGAAGATCTGTATGTCTGAAAATCATCGTACTTTGAGAACGCGAGAAAATTAGGACGGCGCCTGAGTATGTTGATATAAAATGTAGGTATGTGCTTTTAGTTGACAATGCCGGGTTCGAGCTAAAACTCAAGCTCGGCTTGGAGGCCCAAGCAAGAGTTTTTGACGGTTCTGTAACGTATCACATCGTACAAGTTTCTGTGAAAAGTAGGCACGCCCCTATCGGACGTAAGACCAAACTAGATTTATTTGATGATTACGATACTAAAGTATCGTAATCGTCGAATATTATTTGTATTGTAGCTGCCGAAAACTCGTGCTTGTGCCTCAGGCCTGGTACTGTCTAGCGTGAGTCATCCTTTACTCGAATCGTAAGCGGCGCTTGGGTGCTGCCCGAACGTGGTTATCCCGGCACCCTGGCGACGGGCAAGTGGCTAATAAAGGCAAATAAATTTATACTAATATTATAAAGATAAAGAGTTTGTTTAGTTGAACGCGCTAATTGCAGGAACTACTGCTCCGATTTAAAAAAATCTTTTGTGTTGAATAGTGAGTGCATCTATCGAGAAAGGTAATAGGCTATATAAACATAGCACCAATAAAAAACTTTTGCAAAAACGTGAAAAAAATATTCCATTTGAGAGCTTCCGTTGCTTGCGCTGCGTAAACGGTTAAATTTACACAAAAATCATGTATACCGGTGTTGCTTCCCTTTCTATAAAAAAGTCCGCGAACCATTTTTCTCGATTTAACGTGGGTTAAAACGCAGGTACCTCTTGTATAACATAAAAGTGCAATCTTCCTGCGATATAAAGGTATCGCATGTGTTGCGGCAGGCGGCGGGGGAGGAGGCGCGGGCGGCGGTGGCGGTGTGGGCGCGCGGTCCCCGGGCGAGGCGGGCGCAGTGGGCGCGCCTCCCTACGCACCGCACTACGCGCCCGACTACTCCCCGCACCGACCCACCACCACGCCGCCCCACACTACCTGGACCACACTGCGGACCGTGAGTATAGCGAGCTACACTGCATGTGCGAGTTCCCCGGGCGAGGCGGGCGCAGTTGGCGCGCCGCCCTACGCACCGCACTACGCGCCTGACTACTCCCCGCACCGGCCTACCACCACGCCGCCCCACACCACCTGGACTACGCTGCGGACCGTGAGTTTCGCGAGCTACACTGCATGTGCGAGTTCCCCGGGCGAGGCGGGCGCTTCGCCCTACGCACCGCACTACGCGCCCGACTACTCCCCGCACCGGCCCACCACCACGCCGCCCCACACCACCTGGACCACGCTGCGCACCGTGAGTATCGCGAGCTACACTGCATGTGCGAGTTCCCCGGGCAAGACGGGCGCAGTGGGCGCTCCGCCCTACGCTCCGCACTACGCGCCCGACTACTCCCCGTACCGGCCCACCACCACGCCGCCCCACACTACCTGGACCACACTGCGCACCGTGAGTATCGCGAGCTACACTGCATGTGCGAGTTCCCCGGGCGAGGCGGGCGCAGTGGGCGCTCCGCCCTACGCACCGCACTACGCGCCCGACTACTCCCCGCACCGGCCCACCATCACGCCGCCCCACACCACCTGGACCACGCTGCGCACCGTGAGTATCGCGAGCTACACTGCATGTGCGAGTTCTCCGGGCGAGGCGGGCGCAGTGGGCGCGCCGCCCTACGCGCCCGACTACTCCTCGCACCGGCCCACCACCACGCCGCCCCACACCACCTGGACCACGATGAAGATCGTGAGTGTCGCGCGCTACATTGCAAGCGGACGGAGTGGCAGATTTTTAACGCAAAGCAACCGAGTTACGGGTCTTACACAAATAGTCGGCCTGTGTCTGCGGCTAGCCGAGGCCGCCCTACGCGCCCGACTACTCCTCGCACCGGCCCACCACCACGCCGCCCCACACCACCTGGACCACGATGAGGATCGTGAGTGTCGCGCGCTTCATTGCAAGCGGACGGAGTGGCAGATTTTTAACGCAGAGCAACCGAGTTACGGGTCTTACACAAATAGTCGGCCTGTGTCTGCGGCTAGCCGAGGCCTATGCCTGCGGCTGCCGAGGTCAGACTTAAAATTGAACAGAAAGTGTTATTTTGTTGAAAATTAATTTAAAATATGCTATAATATAAGATGAGATTGACTGTATCAAAAGTCTATTAGTAGATTGGTTTGAGTAACTCGAATGAAATTGTTTGTTGATATAGAGCGGAGGCGGAGGCAGTGGCGAGACTTACGCGTACAGCGGCGAGACGGGCGGCGGCGCCGGCGCGGCGGAGGGCAGCCCGGCGCGCTCCCCGCCTGCGCCCGCCTACCTGCCTCCCGCGCACTACCACCACAACCACCACCCGCACCCCGCACACCCCACGCACCCGCCGCACGGTAAGGCTGCCCATATTTTTTTATGTGTAACATCTTTCCTCTCGCTTTCGTGCAATTTGTGGGAGTGAATACGTGAAGTTTGACGGAAGTGTGTAACAGGAACATAATGTTCAAATGGCTTATTCCTTTTGTAGTAGGTTTTATTTCTTTTTTTTTACTAATATAAGGTGAGGTTTCAAATGTTACACATCATACGCGACTACTGTAAGGCTCGCTCGGGGTTTTTTTTTATTGTGTATGCTGTTGGTCGCAGTTGACTTTTATAGCGTCACCGGGTTTGGGGACGGCGAGATCCTAAGGGGACCTCAAGCCGAGAATTGGCGAATGCCTCTTATGGTATTCTAAGTGGATGGCATCTCCCCAGGGGGTGAGTCTCCTCTGCGACTAGAGCCTCTAGACCACTCGAACCTGAGAGTGCTGGCTGCACACAGTGCTCTACTGGATAGCGCGTTCTGCTTGCGATCGTGGAAGTTAAGCAACTTTCGCAATAGTCGGTCATTGAAATGAAATTATAGTTTATTCATATTGACTTATAGATAATGATTATAAGACCACAATTAGGACATCTTTTAGCTGATAAGAAGATTGGGCGCAAGAAACTAATCAGAATTACCAGAAGTAACAAAATTTACATAAAATCTTGTCGCTTCCAATATTATTAATCAAATTTAGTGATGTGTAGTTAGTTAATTCTGAATTTAATAAGAAGACTTTGCTTACTTCAATGAACGAAGTGTTCTTTCTCATCGGATGGGTATCCAAAACTTATTATCTCGAGCTCCTCCTTGCTTCAGAAGGCGCGATAAGCCGTTGATCCCGGCTGCATCTGCAGTCGTTAGTACCCACCAAACCGCACTGGGCCCGCGTGGTGGGTCATGGCACAATCTCCCTATTCCATCCATAGGGAAGGCCTGTGCTCCAGCGGGAGGGACATTTATAGGCTGATGATGATTATTATTATTTTGGTGTCCTCTTAGGCAAGGGCCTTAAATCCTCATGAATACCCTACAGACTAACACACCCGTGTTGATGGCTTTGACGATAAGGACCTTACAGGCTTCGTTGATACAAAAACCTCATTTTCTTAGCATTCCCATAGTTTCAAAAATAAAAATTGCACAGGTATAAAGTAGATAATTGTATCTATCCATTGATATAGGTTTCGTTTGTGTCTGCTACTTTTCGATAAGCGGGGCTTTCCGAGCCAATGTGACCACGTACACGATGTTGATAGATGGTAGTTGTTTGTAGTACGCAGGTAAAGAAGTCACCAAAGTTAGATATGTATATTTATTGCAGCCGAACATTGTGGAATGGTACCTTTACAGTGCTTACTTTGGGGCTAGGCAATTGGTGTGTGTTGGAAATATTTATTATTATTAATACAAGGAGACGTTACAGGCATGTGGTCATGGCAGGGCAGCGCGGCGGGGGCGGGCGGCGCACCCGCGCCCGACGGCACGCACGCGCCGCACGAGCTCTCCGACATGCTCCAAATACTGGACCAAGGCGGCGCCACCACCTTCGAGGACCTCAACATTAACATGTTCAACTCGAACTTTGAATAACCTACCCACATTCTCTAGCGTCTTTCCTCGTTTCGGCCCTCTGATGGCAGCATAAAGGTATAAGAATAGAGTAGGGGAGATATAGACTCTACTACAAGTGGAAGTGTCCCTCTAATAGAAAGAGAAAGAAGATGAGAGACCGCAAGCTTTCTCTCTCTAATCGCGCATGCGCTTTGGCAACCATAAGCATCTTAATATTTCGATGTGATGCCATTGGATGCCATGCGTCACAAGAGAGAGAGATAGGTAGCGGTCTCTCATCTTCTTTCTCTTTCTACTAGACGGACACTTATATAGCCGCCTTCCCCACTGTATTGTTATACCTCTATAGATGGTAGCGCCGGCGGGCAAAAACAACGCAATATTTAAAAAAAACGTCGATTCGACCTACAATAAAAATTTAAAAATGTTAGATCTATGTTGAATTGGTGGATGATCGAAGGAAAACTTTAAGCTGATGAGAGGCAGGGAAGCTGTGAAGATCAAAAGCTGCCTCGTGGTTTGTCAATGTACTTCATTAATAACCAAGTGATTGTTACTGTTCCTTTATTGCTTTTAGATTGTGGGTTGAATCGACGAAGAAAAAAGTCTAGTTTTAAATAGATCGTTGTTTCGGCCCGCGGGCCAACCAGCGCCGGGCCATAACGACGAAAGACCCATTCTGTATAAAAATAATAATTCCATAAATATAATAAAAATAAAAATGACTGCTACACTCTCTTTCGTTGACGACTATGTGACGTGGAAGTTTCGTGTGCTGCGTGCGCTGGCGTTCGATTAGATTTATTTGACATTGCGTATGTGTACTTTCTATTATTATAGATTGGGATGTTTTTAGTATGGACCTTTAAGGTATGAACTGTGAAGAGTTTTTATCAGCCCAACTACAGATATACTGGCAGCTCGGGTCGTGGTCCACCTAGTTAGACCATGATCTTTTTTTTCTTTTTCGTAGTCCACCCTCAATGATAGGCAGCCTGAAATGATAATTTGTAATTCGCATTGTTCACCTAAGTATATATTAATTCTAGCTGCCCCAGCGAACTTCGTACCGCCATAAAAAAAAATAGGGGTTGTTGGTAGAAGAGTGAAAATTTAGGGTTGTATGTATTCTTGTATGATGTATCATAAAAAAATTAAAACAAAAATAATTGTCCAATAAAAAAATTGTTAAGGGTGGTTCCATCCTTAACATTTTTGGATTTAGGGGGATGAAAAATAGATTGTTGTCCGATTCTCAGACCTACTGAATATGCATATAAAATTATACGAAAATCGGTCGCAATTACGCACACCGTGACACGAGAATTTTATATATTAGATGTGTATAATTAGTAGTGCTATTCTTTAATTTAAACCAAGAATATAATTATTTTTCTTTTGTCAAGCAAGCTAAATGAACGACTTATTGGAAACTAAGAATATAGGTTTTTCTTGTGTTGCATTAGAAAAAATACGTTAATTTCAATATATTTTACCTAATGTATCCTCGACGGAAATTTCGTTGTTCACTAAGTTTCAATTTTTTCTGCATTTTATTTGTTATTGAAAAGTTTATTCATTTCGATTACATATAGCGATCATTTTAAAGTGAATTTATGGGCAAGCAAACGTACCTGTTGTCACCTAGGTAGTCTGAGATGCATTACAAGTAAAATAATGCCCGTCGTATTTTAATTTTAAATGGCTAAATGGAAATACTAGGCGGACTACGACTCGAGCCCATGTTCTCTCGAGCGTGTCGCGCTTGAGAGATGTTTAGTTTTTATTACCAGATGGCGAATTTAAATAAGAATACGAAATAGAAAAATCTCTATCTTTTAATTGTTTAAGTTCAATACATATTCAGTATTAGTTAAGCAAGCTTATGAATATAGCAAATGAAATATGTATTCAATTTATTTTCGTTATTTAGGGTCGATTTTTTTTATTTTGATAATGGTACTGGGAAGCTGCCAACTTATTGACATGTTTGTTACAAATAAAAAAATAATTCTAATACTATCAATTGTACATAAATATGTTATTTTATATTACAATGAAGTATTTAAAGCAAACCAATTTAAGATTAAACATATTGATTGTAACTTTTTTAACAGTCTGTATTGGCATAAGTAAATATAAAATTAATAAAACCATAATGAACAAAATACAATCGAAACAAAAGAACATGAATCCTCAATGTTTTCTATTCAAAAATCAAAATATGCAAGAATATTTTATTTTTTGCGAAATGTTAGTACCAAATCGTTTTGAGTCTTTTAGGATATTTTTGTGCATAAGTTCAATTAGTTAAAAAGGTTTATCACTTTCTAATATAAAGTCATGTATAAAATCTGGGTCAGTTACAAAAAAAAACGATATTTTTTTAATATAATTTTGTTTTGTGTAAATTAAAATTACTAATTAACAACAATTATCGATTTATCAATCGGGTTTAAGCCCCTATAACAGGTTTACAATTTAATAGCGATTGGTGGTCTGTACTATTTTAAAAAGTACAGTTAGCCTAAACTTGGTGGCGAGTCACAATAGATGTTATAGGTCGCTACAGTCAGTATAAGTGGCTACAGTCCCATTAGGACTGCATATCCCCAAAAATCAAAAATAGTAATAATAGCATAAACCTAAGCTCAGCATATTAGAAAGTGACAGATCTATTAATCTGACATTTTTTGTTCTCAACATCTAATTTTAATCATTTTTATTTCGTAGATTATATTTTTACTTAGATATATTTTAATGTAATACATTTCCGAATAGTTTTCCTTTTTTGTGTATTATGTTTTATCATAGATATTATATCAGAATTTTGTAAAATGAATTTTTCATTAAACCTAAAGTACCTAAAATACACTATTTGATTTTTAACCACTTTACACGGCACCTCCACAACACTACTCGCGAAGTTCCAGAGGTTGAGCCACAGACAACTAGATACTACGTACATACTGCAGAAATAATTTCTCTGTACGTAGTATGTAAGTAGTCTGTGGCAGAACTTCGGTTAATTTCGCGAGTAGTTTAGTGGAGGTTTTAGAACCAAGACTCTAAGACTGTTCGACTTATCCTTTCTGAAAAAGCAATAGTAAGCAAAATGTCCGGTCTTCTTACAAATGTTGCACATTTTGTCCTGCGCTGGGCATTTATATGTATGTATCTGGCCACATCTTGTACAATTTCTTGTGCTTGACTTACTCCTAGTCCGTGTCGACTGGTTACAGTTGTTCTGTCTTTGATTTGATCTTGAGCGATCTGGTATTTTCGATCTTGACCTTGACTTGTATCTCTGTGGTTGCTCTTTAACTCCCTGCACCATTTCGTTTTTTGTATCCTGTCTCATCAATTTGCTAGAACGTTCCTGAGATAGCTCGAGGCTTTTAGCAATCTTCATAGTGGATTCAACGGTCAGGCCTTCCTCTTGTAGTAATCTTTCTTTAATATATGTATTTTTCATACCTATGATGAGCATGTCCTTTATCAACGATTGTTTTAAATTTCCAAAGTCACATGTGGTTGCTAAATTATTAATAATTGTTAAATATTCATCCAGGGATTCGTCAGGTTTTTGCATTCTAGTAAAAAAATTATATCTTTCCACAGTAATGTTAGTGTGAGGACTGAATTTTTCGTCAAATTTTTTCAACACGTCTTCTAATTTGGTATGCGTTCTGTCAAGATTAAAACTGTTGAAAATTTCGATTCCGTCGTCTCCTATGGCATTAAGAAATATTGCTACCTGTTTGGATTCGGGAAATTTTGCAATTTCATTAGCATCCTTAAATATTTCAAAACGAAGTTTCCATTTTTTCCATATCTCGGCTGCGTTTTCGCCATTTTGTACGCATAGCGGTTTCAAGGAGACAATAACGCTTTGTCCGCCATGACAGAGTTGACTTTGATAGCAGAGATTCGACTTACTTGGGACTTTTTCACGCCTATTTTATTTGAAAATTTTCTGCACTTCTGACACCATCTTTTGGGTTCGTTATGTAAGATTCTTGAATGAAAGATTATTGGGGCGTTGTTAATATTTTTATTGCACACTCACATGTTAACAGCTTACAGCAATGGTGGATACCGGGGAAGAGAACCAGCGGCCCTCGACATAGACAATAATAATTTATTTTAACCATAGACTACAATAGTGACGACGTTTTGTAGGAGCTAGAATAGTATTGTATTATTATTATGCATTAAATAACATAGTTTATTATTAAAAGAATTATGTACAGTAACTAACTATAGGTCAATAATTAAAGTAAAGCTAGTAAATAAATAAAAAGTGTATGTATGTATGTGTGTTTTATTGCAGGTACTTCGGTCGGACACATACACAAGTCGATGGTTTGCCTACAATGCCTTAAAGTTCTTAGACGATAGAAACACACCAAGGGGGGTGCCAAGAATCTCCGGGCTACGGGAGGCCACCACAAAAGACTGACCCTGGCGACGTACAACGGACGCACGCTACGGCTTGACTCGCATCTGGCGCAAATCGAGGTGGAACTTGGAAAGATTAGGTGGCACATTTTAGGGTTAAGTGAAGTCCGAAGAGAGGGGGAGGACACCATAACCCTCGAATCGGGGCACCTAATGTACTTCCGCGGGGGAGACCAACAGTCCCAAGGTAGCGTTGGGGTTTTTGGTAAATAAGTCCCTTGCCGATAACGTTGTGGAAATGTCCAGCGTGTCGAACAGGGTAGTGTACCTTATTATAAAGCTCACCGAGAGGTATAGCCTCAAGGTGGTGCAAGTGTACGCACCGACCTCGACACACTCGGACGACGAAGTGGAGGATATGTTATATGATATATCGTCCACTCCACTACTAAGACCCACTACAACGTTGTTATGGGGGACTTCAACGCTAAAGTGGGAGTACAGAATTGCAGCGAATCGGTAGTAGATGGATTTGGAAGCAGAAATCATAGAGGGCAAATGCTCGTCAACTTCCTCGAACAGCAGGGGCTCTTCTTGATGAACTCTTTTTTCAAGAAACAGCCCCAAAGGAAGTGGACATGGCAGAGCCCCGACACTATGACTAAAAATGAGATCGATTTCATCATGACGGACAAGAGGTACATATTCAGAGACGTCTCCGTGATCAACAGGTTCAATACCGGTAGTGATCACCGACTCGTCCGGGGCTCTCTGAATATCAACTTTAAGGCCGAGCGCGTCCGTTTAATGAAATCCAGGCTCCAACCTACTTTGCTCCAATCTACAACAGGATCTGAAACGTTCCAGTCAAATCTGGAGAACCGATTTGCTGCCGTGGAAACCACATCAGACGTAAACCAAAACCTCGAAAATGTGGTTCGGATTCTCAGGGAAGAGGGTACGAAACTATGTGCAACGCAGCGTAAGGGCAGGAATCAAAGCTTTCGGAAGAGACTTTAGGGCTAATGAAGGAACGACGTGAAAACCCACCCGTCACTTCGTCGGCAAAGCGGACTCTAAACCAAGAGATCAGTAAGCATGTACGACACGACCTCCGATGCTCCAATACTCTCTCGATCGAGAGAGCGATCGAGCAGAATCGAGGGTCCAAAGTGTTCGTACAATCTCTTGGAAGAAGCCATCTGACGAAGTTGACCACAGCAAGTGGGGAAGTTGTTGCTTCAAAGCCGGCAGTCCTTTCGGAAGTGGAAGACTTCTACAGCCAGTTATACGCATCACATGCATCTCGACCTGATCCCGGAAATGAGGATTCTAGAGCCACATTAACACGCCACTTCACCGGAGACCTGCCAGAAGTCAGTATTGGCGAAATCGAGATTGCTCTTGGACAGCTTAAAAATGGAAAAGCCCCTGGAGAGGATGGTGTTACAACAGAACTCTTGAAGGCTGGAGGTAAACCCGTACTGAGGGAGCTCCAAAAGCTTTTTAACACTGTCCTGTTCGAAGGGAGAACTCCGGAGGCGTGGAGTAGGAGTGTTGTCGTCTTGTTCTTTAAAAAGGGGGACAAGACCCTACTTAAGAACTATCGACCCATATCCCTTCTAAGCCACGTCTATAGGCTGTTCTCAAGAGTGATCGGTTCGCGATCACGAATCTTGCGCGAAGATTTGATGACTTCCAACCACCGGAACAGGCTGGGTTTCGGAGCGGATACGGCACCATAGACCACATCCACACAGTGCGGCAGATTATACAGAAGACTGAGGAGTACAATCAGCCCCTGTGCCTAGCATTTGTGGACTATGAGAAGGCCTTTGACTCGATTGAAATCTGGTCTGTCCTGGAGTCCCTGCAGCGTTGCCAAGTCGACTGGCGATACATCCAAGTGATAAGACGAAGCCGCCACCATGTCTGTCCAAGTACAGAATCAGCAAACAAGTCCCATACCGTTGCATCGTGGAGTGAGACAAGGGGACGTTATTTCCCCGAAATTGTTCACTAATGCAGTGGAGGATATGTTCAAGACGCTGAACTGGAAACGACATGGCATCAACATAAATGGCGAACGCATCTCTCACTTGCGATTTGCAGACGACATCGTCATCATGGCAGAAACCCTGCAGGACCTACAACAGATGCTGAATGACCTGGCTGACTCTTCTATACGCATCGGCCTACGGATGAACTTGGATAAAACCAAGGTCATGTTCAATGAACATGTTCTACCGGAACCGATTGCAATACACGGTGCCGTTCTGGAAGTTGTTCAAAAATATGTATACCTCGGGCAGACATTGCAGTTAGGTAGAAACAACTTTGAGGACGAGGTGAATAGAAGAGTTCAGCTAGGTTGGGCAGCGATTGGGAAGCTACATCAAGTCCTGACATCGTCGATCCCACAGTGCCTAAAGACGAAAGTCTTCAATCAGTGCGTCCTACCTGTGATGACATACGGAGCCGAGACGTGGACACTGACGGCACGGCTGATCCACAGGTTCAAAGTCTCTCAACGCGCTATGGAAAGGGCTATACTCGGCGTTTCTCTGAAAGATCGCATCAGAAATGAAGTAATCCGACAGAGAACCAGAGTTATCGACATAGCCCACCGGATTAGCAAGTTGAAGTGGCAGTGGGCTGGCCATATTTGCCGAAGAACCGATAACCGTTGGGGTAGACGAGTTCTGGAGTGGAGACCGCGTCTAGGCAAACGTAGTGTAGGACGTCCTCAGGCACGATGGAGTGACGATTTGCGCAAGGTGGCTGGCAGGAGCTGGATGCGAGTAGCCCAAGATCGATCTGAGTGGCGTGCATTTGGAGAGGCCTATGTCCAGCAGTGGACTATGATAGGCTGTTGATGAGAAACACACCAAGAAAGAGAAAAAATACGGTAAGATTTAAACTATGAGCATCTGTCTTGCCAAGAAACCTTTCCTTCATTCATAAAATAATCAGCTAATTCGTCTCTGATAGCATTAAGATGCGCAGATGATCGTCTAGGGATATTTCTTACAGGCAGTATTGATGTGATGTTATTATTATTTTGCCTCCACGTACCTTCATTTAAATTTCCATCTTCCTCCCTATCAACTAACCCTGGAATCATGTACACGTTTGTAGAGTGACGTTTTAAATAATTGTGTAAAAGAGTGATTGCCATAACTACCAATTTAGCTTTATCGGGTTGTAATAGCATTGGTTTTCTTAAAACTCTGAACACAGACGATACAATGCCAACGTACATTTTCGTACAACGTACGTTTTCAACAACCCGTCTAGCTCTGCTTAATCTATAATTAAATATTCTCTTCGATGAACCCTTTGGATGTATCCCAGCATATGGCTTCATCAAGTATTCACTTAAAACAAACGCACTATCGCCTAAGAAAAATATGGTATAGAAACATTTCTATCGGATAGGGGACGTGACTCTGGCAGGTCTAATGTTCGATTCTCTATCTTATCATATAATTGGGTATCTTTGAAAACTCCGCCATCAGAAATCCTCCCTTTACAACCTACGTCTTCGAATAGAAAATTATAGTCTGCATCAACTAGAGCAAAAAAACGATACTGAAATTTTGTTTATAATTATAAAACTCGGTTCCGCTTTTAATAGGAGTGTGGCGGCGACATCTATATGCCCCACATATAGACAACGGATGGAGGAAATCATTACTCACCATCCTCAAGAGATGGCGTTACCTGCACTGCGATCAATAATAGTATGGAAGCCTACATCGCGCAAATGAAATTCGGAAGCTAACTCTTCATATGACGACCTCCGTGGCCAAGTGGTTTGTACGCCGGGTTTCATGGTGTCGCCGACTCGAGAGGTCCCGGGTTCGAATCCCGGTGGGGGCAGATGTTTGTGTGATGAATACGAGCATTTGTACTCCAGTCATGGATGTTTAATATGTAATTCTATATAAATATACTTATATATGTACAGTATATGTATTCTATCCGTTACCCTAGTATCCCATAACACAAGCCTTAATAGTGCTTACTTTGGGGCTAGGCTAATTGGTGTGGGTGTTAGCAATATTTATTTATTTATATATACGATGCCCGACCAACATCAGTCGGGCCGCGGCCCCCGAGCTACCATCACCCAGCTCGGAGGAAGATCTTCCCCTTTGGCCTTCCTACACTGGTGACCCTCGACTGAGCACAGCAGC